GTGAGTGATTGAAAAAGAAGAAAAAGTTTTCGATTTACGTGTAATATTATTTTATAGAAGATTATGTGATTGGATACAGGAGAAAAAAATGAAATTTAATTTAATGTTATCAAATTGGGGCTAAATAAAACAAGAAAACAAAAGAAAATGAAAATCTCTTGTTCATCTTATGATTTTGTTTTTAAGGAAGAAAAATATTATTTCGAAATTTGTGGGAATATGTGACCAATGGTACCACCTTCTTGTGTTTGAGAAAGAGGGAGTGGAAATGAAATAATTGAATCACGCCCACTGCATCTGGTTTCTCAGTCCTACCCCAAACCTGCTTGTCACCACCCGCTTCCCTAATATTTTATATTACTATAAATTTCAATAGTGATAAATAGCATTATTCATTTATCTTAAACATGATTGATTAGCAATGAGAAATAAAATCAATGAAAGGATAGAAAAATGAATTTACTCGTAATGAAAAAGATAAATTCGTATCCATATGACACGAAATATTCGATTATTAGAATTACTTCTTTTCATTTAATTTTCTCATTTTTGGGTCAACTTATATTATGACATGTTATGGGGCAATGCATGAATGACGCCTCGTTAAAATATTTAGACGAGAATTTTCATTTTGAAACCACTCACCGTGCCATGTTTTTGTAATGACAAGAAAATAATAATAAAAAAAAAAAAAAAGGCAAAAAGTAAGAAAGGAAACTTACCCTTTTAAGATATGGAGATTATAATGAAAAGCTAAAAAATTACACTTCATGGACCATAATCATACACGTCCTCGTAATACACTGGGTGTAGTATCTTTCCAACTTGGAATCACTTTCAAATTTGCTACTTGATGGAGATTGTGTAATTTATTATTGAATCGTAAATACGAAAAGATCATAATTTTATCACAATTTTCATGAATGTACTCAAAAGTGGCGCAACAAGTTTCCTTGTCCTCGAGTTGAATACGGTTAATAGAGTAACCTCTTTAACAAAACCACATTTTTCGTCTCTAATTCCACATTACTTAAAAGAATTTTTAAAAGAGAATTAAGATTGAATAGCCAATGAATTATTGATGGACAGCAAGTTGAATAGTCAATTTTAGACAGCAGTTCTCAACTCACGACCAACGGACTGTTATCACAGTGACTCAGTGAGTGTGGAGGGGAAAACGCACTTGAATGGAAAACAAAGCTCAGACGAAGAGTCAGAATAACGTCACCGGCAACGGAATATTCCGTCTAGGCAAACACCTTTTATTGGGAACTTCATTGAGGTGACACTGCGTTAATTATCCCCTGCATGCACGTGCACATGAGTTTGATGATTGCGTTGGGACTTTCCGAAATCAGAGATGAATCCCACTATGTTTGCAGATTGACTGCCTGTTTGACCCATTTTCATTGGTTAATATTTCCACACCATAACATTGGATTGGGGTGAACATTTCTTTTTATCAACTACTCGAAGTAAATTGGAATTGGCCTATTCTAGTTAATCCTTTGAATGGTTTTAGGTCTTTAAAATTGAGAACTACACGGTTATGGTTCATTTCTTGATTTCATCTGCAAAATTAGAGTTCAGTTTAGTATGTAAAAAGAGAAGAACAGAAAAATGAAACACTATTTAAGTTATTCATTATTTATGTTATAGGTTTCGACTAAAACTCGTACAAATTCCATATTATATTTGAACTTACTCAATTTCTATCCTAAATGTGCACCTTCAAGAATAAATCACTTGGCATTTGTGGACGACTTGATGCTCTTTGCCAGAGAGGATATTTTTTCGGTTGGTATTTTGATGATTTGCTTATCAAACTTTGGTGATATGTTGGGACTAAGGATGAATGTTGACAAGTTTAGCTTGTATACCACAAGAATTCATGACGCGAGAGTTTAAGGATATTCTTGCTCTTACTAACAAGCCTAAGGGAACCATGCCCTTTCGCTACTTGGGCATCCCACCTGCCGTAGAAAAATTGAAAGTTAGCTCCTATGATTCCTTCATCAACATAATCACATCATGTATTGGTGCACGGTCTTGTGCTTCATTATCTTATGGCGGGAGAGAGGAGCTAGTGAGAGCCGTTCTTCAAGGAATGGAATGTTTTTTATTGTCCATTTTTTTTCTTTCTGGCTACGGACGCCTCTGAAGTCATTAGCCTTTGTCGGAAATTCCTATGGGGATCCAAAAAGCCTTTAGTGCTTGGAGTAATATTTGCCTACCTAAGCATGAAAGTGGACTTGATTTTAGAGACATTAAAAGTTGGAATTGTGCGCTACTATCCAAAACTCTTTGAAACATTCATAGCAAAAAGGATTCACTTTGGATAAAATGGGTTAATCAAGTTCACCTTCCTGGGAAGGACATTTGGGACCGCATGACGAGAAAAGATGACTCCCCTTACTAAAAAAAGTGAGGAAATCAGGGACTGAATTATGGGGCCTACGCACACCTCAAGTTGGTATTGGCAAGGTGGTCAACTGGACGAAGGCAGGCAGTTTCAGCATTTCAACTGCCTATGACGTCTTCAGGGCGAAGGAAGCTAAGGCTATGTGGGCAGCGACGGTTTGGCATGCGTCCATTACTCCCAAGCATGTTTTCATTCTTTGGTTAGGTGTTAAGTCCATATTAGTAACTAAAGATAAAATTTAGCGTTTAGAATTTGACCGAAGATCTGTATTTTGTGGACAAACGGAGGAAACAGCAACGCACCTATTTTTTACTTGTTCTTTCAGCAGTACCGTATGGGGAAAGATTCGTAGGTGGTTGGCCATTACACGCTCTATGTCTATTTTGTCTATGCATTGAAATGGATTAGAAATGAAGCTCGACGTATGACTTGGCAAAGTAGAGTTAAAAAAAATTGCATTTGCTACCTTCGTTTACTACATTTGGATGGCGAAGAATACGAGGACTTTTGAGGGGCTTAAGCCAAATGTTGATAGCATTGTTAGACAATTAAAACACACGCATACAAAGTCATATTTTATTTGTATCTACACATTTTAATTCAATTTGAGTCTATAGCATTGTGTCCATAACTATTATCGTTTATACATCTTTTCATTTTGTTTGCTCGAAATTAATAGGAGTACTTGTAATTGTTACACGATCTTGGTTTGCCAAGGTATGTTTGGTGTATTTATATATGTGTTTTGATCAATAGTATTTACATTTACCGATAAAAAAATAAAATAAAAAAAATTGAACTTCAATTATCCTAGAAAACCAATATTCAACATTACTAGTATTATGCACGACATAAAAAATATCAAACCTTAACAAAATCCAAAAGCGATGAAAATAAAATAAAGGGTAATTACATTCATCCAATGATTTTTTATAAATCTATCACATTTTAATTTTATTAAAGTAACTTCACTAATTGTCGAATTTATAGCCCCAATTTTTTCATCACACTCTTATTCTCATCATTCTATTAGTTAGCACAAATTTATCTTTGATGATAGTTTTTGTCCAAAAATTCTGCAAGTGTACTTTAAAATCACGAACCAAATATTTAGTCACATTTATTTTTTAGACATACGAAGAGCAAATAAGTCTTTTTACATTCTCTTCACATATATTTTGTAAGGAAATCGTCATTCGAAATAGTATTAGCTAATTAGTGAAAGTTTGAAAATAAATATATGATTAAAAAAAGTCGATGACATAAATACGACAATAATATAAAATTATGAATCTTTACTATAATTAAAATATGACAAAATTGTGAAATCAGGGATCTCGATCGATCTCCCTTGAGACACGGTCTGCTCCATTGTTTGTGTGGGTCTTGGTCTATTCCAAATTCCCATATTGACCCACATGTGCAACCGGGGTCTCCTTCGTCACCTTCGTAAATGTTGAGTTTGTTGCATTAAAATACTAAATGCCAGAAGTTATGCCATTATTTCTGCCTAAAACGGGGGAAATTATATATGTAACGCTCTTCTTCGCCGTGAAACCAAGTCCTTGTAAGAATATCGAGTCAGGTCTGCTCAAAAGTTTTTTGGACCTATTCCGATCACTGATTTGCATGTAACTAGGAAGAGATGAGAATACTTTAGCAACTAATTGAGTTCTACACTGTTATGCTTCAATTTGACATAATTATAAATGATTTATAAATAGAAATAGTAAGACGATCTCACAAAATGCTAGGAAAATAATGAGTTGTAATTATGAATGTGATTGAAATTATTGACTGCATTTGTAATTGGTTGGCCAATGGAGGCTAAATTTAACTATCGACTGAATTTATAAATTGGTTGGCAAATGGAGGTTAAATTAAGATTAATTCATACATAGACCAATGTCTAATTTAACTTATCAATTAGTCCATATATTTGGTTTAGATAAAAATTAGTTTTTTAGTAGATTTTGATAAGTTGATGAAATGTGGTTGAAAAATTGCGAGTCTCATCAAATGTATAATTAAAATTAATTGTTGGATTTGACTTAAATTTTAATCTAATTTTTAATTGAACAAAACATGGGCTTAATGTCACATAGATCAGTGATGCTTTATAGATATACGAATAATATTATTTAGTACTAATGATAGTAGAGCACCAATTTAGATATCTGCACTTTATAGGTTCAATTAAATGAGTAGTGCGATTTTACATTTAAATAAATATATTATTTAATAGGAATGATCTCCTAAACACCGGTGTCGATGAGATAATACATCATATAATTGGTGAATCATTAAATATGTGGGACATACTGTTAACTTATTCACCAATTAAATGACTTGTCATGTTATCGATACTTAATATAAGCTAAGCATCGATGCTCTCCACATTATTTAATATCATGTAATTATCACATAAATTGATACTAAACATCAATGATAATGAATAGCATTTCTCTATATATAGTTAGTCCCGCTAAAATCATTATCAATTAATTGCTAAAAGTTTTAATGAAGATTAGTAATCCTAGGCTTGGGGGACAAAGGAGAGAGAAAGAGGGCCCCATACCCACCGGCCATGGGCACGCTGTCTTCCCCATTCATCCAAATGAATTCATGACCTAACCCTAACCCGAACACCACTCAGCAGCAACCATGCTTCCCCGACATAAAAAGGATCGAATTCATTTTATATATCTACTCTCTCTCTCTCTCTCTCTCGCTCTCTCTCTCTCTCCCCCATGAACTCACCAACAGCAACGAACCCAACTTAACAAGAATTGAAGAATATAGAGTTATCACGTGAAGGTAGTGGGATAAGTCATGGTTAATTCAGCTCATTTTTTGGTGAATCCTTCCCACCTCTTCTCTGGTGAAGGTTAGTTCAATTTGATTCATCAAATTACCAAGAAAATTCATCAAATTTGTCCATCTTTGAAAAAGCAGATAGGTTTTCCAGTCAAGTGAAGCCATGGATCAACTAACATCTCACGGCCGTTCTTTGCCGCCTCCCTTTCACGCTAGAGATCTTCAGCTCCATCACCACCAGTTCCAGCATCACCAGCAACAGAATCCCGAAGATGAACAGAGCGGAAATAGCAATCCTAACAGGAACCTGAAGCGAGATCGCGATGAGAATTACGGTGTTTCCACAACCACCACAAGTTCGAACACTCCCCCCACAGGAAGCAAAGATCTAGTACCAATCTCCGGGGAAGGAGAGGTTACAAGAAGACCAAGAGGAAGACCCGCCGGTTCCAAGAACAAGCCCAAACCCCCAATCATAATCACCCGAGATAGTGCAAATGCACTCAGATCTCATGTCATGGAAGTTGCCAACGGTTGTGATATTCAAGAAAGTATATCTACTTTCGCTACTAGGCGGCAGAGAGGGGTCTGCATCTTGAGCGGCAGTGGCACTGTCACTAATGTCACCATAAGGCAACCAGCTGCACCAGGAGCAGTAGTGACTTTAAATGGAAGATTCGAAATTCTATCCCTATCAGGTTCGTTTTTGCCACCTCCAGCTCCACCTCTTGCATCAGGATTAACCATATATTTAGCCGGAGGGCAAGGCCAGGTTGTTGGTGGCAGCGTGGTAGGGCCGCTGCTTGCTTCCGGGCCGGTGGTGATTATGGCAGCAACATTTGGTAATGCAGCATATGAGAGGCTTCCTCTAGAGGATGAAGAATCGCCGCTGCCCGGAAGTGGTCCCCTTGGATCTCCGGGAATTGTTGGCCAACAACAACAGCAAGGGCAGCAGCAGCCACAACAACTTATGGCTGATCCTAATTCAAATCTTTTTCATGGGATGCCTCCAAATCTCTTAAATTCATGCCAGTTACCAGCTGAGGCCTATTGGGGGGCAGGTCGCCCTCCCTTCTAACGAAATAAAAAATCAGGATCTTTGATTTTCTCTTCAAAATCATTTTGCATTCTTCTTAAATTTCTTTGAAAGTAGCTTTAGTTTGAGTTCATGGTGTCATCTTGGTGATTATTCTGCCTTTTGATTGAAGAGGGATGTATAAATTCATGAATTCTTTTGTGGTTTAAATTTATGACAACAGCTTTTTCAGCATTTCACGTTTCCTGTTATACCAATTAGGAGAAGAATTGCAGTTTCCCTTCAATTCCTTTTTCTTCCTTCTTTTGATTTCATGCTGCAGGTCTGATATCTTGTATGATAAACATCATTCAGTCACCTTCCAGCCGAAGAAAAGTAGAAAACATTCTTTTCTCGCTGGTTTGTTTCTTACGGTTTCCTATTTCAACTTGTTCATTTTCATAAAATGCACCTATTTATAACATCTTTAAGATACCCCATAAAATTTCTGGCCTTAATAGTTACTTCTACTCTTATATTCACAACTCTTCTAACATCCATTTTCTTTTCCAATTCTTGTAGTCTTTTAATTAGTTGTTATCAGAGTGTTTGGGAATAGAAACATTGGAAATTCCGTACGTTAAATATAGTGAAAGTTTCAACTTCCAAGATCATTGACAGGAATAGACAATATTTTCACTGCATGCAAATTTGGCTAAAGGTAATTCAACAAGTGGAGCTGTCTTATAGAAATGAAAGAAAAGTATTTTCTGTAAGTTGATTTCCCCCTTATAAGTTCATTTTTCATTCCTATGTCCATAAAGGAATAGGTATACACACTCAAGGATCCTTAATTTCTTGATTTTTCTTCAATGCTTTTTGGGGTTGACAAGCTAGCAGAGAGACATGAATATTGGGTTCTGAATTACACGTGCATTTCTCTAAACTTAGGTCCTTTTCGAGGCATATCAAATGGCAGCAACAAACAGCGAGATAAAGGTTAAAGATAGAGTTTTGATCTTCAAAGCTCTCTCTATCTCTCTCTCTCTCTAGCAGTAAATGGATTGGAAAGGGACCTACAAACTGAGGGGAGTAATCAGTTTGTCTACATTCACGAATTGTTCACTGCATTTGGACAATAGATAGTACTGTGTCTCTTTCTTTCTCACATGCACCCGCCAATAGAATCATTAAAATTCGCTAGGTTTTTTTTCCATCACTACTTAGGTTTCCTCCTTTCGCCAGGACTAATCATCGTTTCTTTTCTTTCAAAATCTATTTTTTTTTATCTGATCTTTATTCTTCCAAATCTTAAATACTTCGTTCAGTATAATTCATTTCTTGAAACATCTTCTTAATGTGCTTTGGGATGCACTGCTATATCTACCTATTAAAAAATAGAAGATTCTGACATTATCGATCCATCGGAAATCCACTGCTAAGTCCATCGATCCATCGGAAGCTAGACTTATAGGATGCTACCTTCTCTCAGCTTTAATTAGTTTCAGGAAGAAATGGAAATAAAAAAATAAGTATCCCCGAAGGTCTGTGACAAGATCATACTCCGAGAAGATACTGAGAGGAGCATTTGTTTTCTATTAATCTTATTTATTACGATGAGTCGATGACAGAGTATTTGGATTTTTCTCCTTGTTTGAAGAGTACATATATACACGTAAACTTCCAATATTTTTTTTTCTCTTATTTTATGAATTAGGAAGCTCGAACCTCGACCTGAGCATTGGGTGGATGGTCCGGATCTTTCAACATGTAGAACCACCCATTATATTTCGTGGGTTTTGTATACGGAACCATTCTAATCCACACAATTACTTGGGTTTGGTTCTACACATGATAATTTTTTTTTTTAAAATTTTGAACTAATTATACAAATTATTTTTCAGTATTCTAGTAGAAATAGAAAATATAATATATACTACCAAATATGTATTTCAACACTTTCTTAATTTACTGTAAATACATAACAAAAATTAGCATCTAATATCTAGCATAATAGCATCAGATTCTGGCTATGGCTCTGTGTGCGATGCCTCGAGAAGAATTTGCAGTGGTGGCCCAGACTGTAAACGGAGTAGGCGATCGCCTAAGGCCCCTTTTTGGTAAATGCTCCAAATTTATAAAGTTAATTGATTGGTTAAAGGAAAATGAAAATTATATTTATAAAATTCCTTAAAATAGAATTATCACATGCAAACACAATGAACAAATAAAAAATGAAAATACAAAATTCTTTTAAAAACTTATAAATGACATAAAACTTATAATTTACATTTATTTATCACATAAATATATCACAAATATTACTTTTTCTCTCTATGACTAATTTGACACTTTATTTTCCAAACTTTTCTTTTCTTTTCTTAACCAAACAAAATGTCTTTTTGCCTCTTCAAATTCCACTCACTCATCATAATTTTTTAAAACCAACAAGAAATAAAGAGTAATGTTAGTTGCAGTCACCTTACGTATTATACATATGGAGGTTAGTGATTTAATGCATTAATGTGTTATTTTTTTGCCTTATGCATCAAATCACTAATCGTCACATGTTGAGATAGTGAGCGACTGCAAATAGCATTATTTGAAAAAAATTATCTCCATTTGAATTAAAATTTTGAAGATTCAATTTTGATAGATTAGGATGGCCTAACTTCCATTGTTATAGCCTTACAGGTTTCTTTCTTTCTCCCTTATCTTAAAAATATATACTATAGAGTACGTAGGTTATTATTATTATTGTTTTGTTTTAATCTCATGGTAATATCTTCTAGATGTTTGTTGAAGTACTTAGAATTTAATAATTCTTCGTCCGTATTCATACTTCTTATTTGTATGTTAACTTATGAATTAATATAAAATTATAGTGTATTTGATCATCATTTTCATTATTTTGTTAGATTATTTTTCGCAATCAACATTATAGACCCATATGCCATTGCATTGTAATTTTGTTTGCTAAGACTTCACTTATAATTTGTATTGCATGTTGAAATTTGACATTTTACAAAATTTGGGACTTAGTTGATTGTATTAGATCATTCATAATTATATTAAAACTCTTTGTAAGAAAGTTCAAAATATAGTGGGCCCCATATTTGAAGTCGGCTTAAGGCCCTCAAAATATCAAGGCTGACCCTGAGAATTTGTGCGACACATAACGTATAAAGTACAATCAGGAGTATCTATAAACAAGAGTCTAATTCAAATGGATGAATTTAGTTGTTTGAGATATGTACTATTTGAATCTTACAAACTTGCTACTTGTTGAGTCGGATCATTGAGTTGGAGTCAATAAATTGCAAAAAATGAAAATGAGTTCAACTTTGTGGATTAGCTTCAATTCACAGATAGAATCTAAAAGAGCAATAATAGACTGAATGAAAATCAATATAATAAAGCGAATTTATCGTGGCTTAGAGCTCCAACTACTGTAGCTGAATATTTTCATTATAATGAACTAGTATACGCTCTTTTTTTATGCCTTTCTCACACGCAAATAAGTCCCTTGAAATCTTTTTTTATATAATAAGAATATTGAAGTAAAGCAGTACTTTATATATAAAAAATACACGTACAACCTAAATAATATGATTAGGCTTCCAGCTAACACGAATCAAACAAAGGCTATATTAGGGCATAACTTTAGTACTGAATGCTATGTGAGGCCCCAATATTAATACTTTTGACATATGTGGTTTAGATTATTTAGTAATGCATAAATTATTTTTAGATTATATTTAGGTGAAGGTTTGTGCGACAATTGAAAAACGTATCTGGTAGAGGACTGAATTTGGCACCAAAACTACTGAGTTGCATGTGAATAATTAGCATATAATAGTCCAAAATTTTACCCCTAAAACATTTTCTCGAGTTTGCTCAAACAAGCGTGAAAACCGATCTATTCTCAGATGTGGCTACAACTCATTTGATTTTGACATAATTTGATGAAGTTCAAGAAATGGTCAAGCTTGATTCTTGAATTATTAGTCTAATTTGAGCTTTTAAATCAAATTTGTGCAAGATTTTCCTGTATTTCCAAGAATTGGTCAATAAACTTGAAAATGCTATCTTTAGGCTTGAATTTGGCTGGGCTCAATCGAGCAAGTTCAATTCTGGTCTCTCATAATGTGTTTACGGAATCTGATTTGTATACTAAACGGAAAATGCCTTGTGTACACCATGAGGTGTACACACAACTTTACACCCCCACTCACATGGAAGGAGACCCACGAATATTTTATTATGTGTGGGCCCCCCCTCCATGTGAGGGGGTGTAAAGCCGTGTGTACACAGTGTACACACAGAATGATCCACACTAAACAACTGTTCTCTGTGTACAGGACATTTTGCCAAGTTGTTTTACTGGAATTCAATTGGCAATATTTCATTGGGTTTTGAGCAAAATAAAATTAAAAATAATAATAAAAATCATACAGCCAGCACCTTTAAATCTGTTTGTACAGGGAAACAGATTGTTTCCCTGTACAAACAGATTAATCTTGTACTAAAACTTGCTTTGGAACGAACAAAATTAAACGTTTCACCATCTTCTTATATACAACTCATGAATGGAGCAATAAACTTTTACAAAATTGAAGCTGAAGCAACCGTATATTGATGATTCCCCAACCAAAAATTAAGAATATTTAATGCAGGAACAGACAATCGACAACAGATAAGGATTTAACATAAACTACATCCGACGGCCCTCTTTTCTAGCAGAAGCTATCACCCTTTCTTTAAGCCAGCTTTCTTATGGGCACTGCCAAGTACTTCTAAGGCTAGCAACACAACAAGACAAAGCTAGTAATTACACCTCAATTCGCAAACGACGCATCTCAGCTACAAAGGTTGAACTTGATGTCAAAGTTCGGCGGGCGAGTGCTTTAATATCTTCACGAGAGCAGTCGCGTGAAATACGAACGAGCTCCCAAAGGGCTCCACCACTAATCATGTCTTTTGCATTCACTTCTGGAAAATGATGAAAGAGAAAAAATTTCAATCTACAATATGTTTGGAAACCACAAATATAGGTTTTTCATTCTTATAGGCAATTACCGTGTTGTGCCAAGTGGCAGAGTGCCAGTTCAACATGACGTCTGATAAGCGATGCTTCGTTGTTAGCATTTTGTACAATCCATGGCAATGCACCGTCTTCTATCAAGAGAGATCGCCCATGTTTTGTACCTAATACTGTGGCATTATCATGAAAATCACAATACACAATAATCCTTCACCA